CTTCACATCTGTATAGTGACTGAGCAAGGGTGCAGTCAAAGAGAACTAGGAATCTTTGCATTCCTCCTTACAGATTACATTTTTCTCACAGTATCTATGAAGTAGAGAAGCATTGCTTACATTCAGAATATGGAACATTCAGGACAGAGGAACCCTACAAGGGGAATGCTTTGTAGCATTTCTGAACTGAACTGATTTTACTGAAATCTACTGTTAGAAGTATATATAGTAAACAGTTGGATGAACTGTAGCATCAAATCTATGGGCATTGCTAGTTCAGGACAGTAATGAATCTGTATAGCCGAGCATCCTCAAAAGTCTGCCTTATTTTTCTTTTAGCTGTACATATTCAAAAGATAATGCTGAAAGGAGGACCACGGAAAAGATCCGACAAACATCTAGAGTATACTTTTAAAGTAAGTGATTTGTGAGTTTCCTATCCAGTTCAAAGCTATTTTGGAACATAACATATTGGCAGACGGATTGAATTAGTCCATAATCTCACTCATTGCTTAGTACAGGTATGAAAAGCATCTGCCTCTTCATATGCCATGACTGTGTTTGCTATCCTGAATAGGACTAGTGAGAGGTCCAGTCCAAACTTACTAAGGACCTGAAATCTATTGCCTCTGACTTAATTCTATGAAGATAGGCTCAAAGGAATCAATGGGAAATGATTGGTTAATGTGTTCACATCTTATGTAGGCTGGAACAGGAATGAGCAGAATTCTATTTTTGGTTTAGCTATTTCCTGCCTTGTTACTGCCTGGAAACAAAAAATGAAGTTTTAAAATATTTGTTAGGCAGGACAGGTTAATAAATGCATGATTTGGAGTTGGCTTGTTTTGATTTCATAATGTATTTTAAACCATATTTGTTTTCATCTAACAGTCAGCCAGAAAATAGGCAGTGTGAGTCTCTGTCTTGATTTATTTCTCCTCCAGGCCCTATAGAAAGTGGGGAAATGAATAACTTATAAACCATCCTGCAGATGAATGGGATTTGCAGCCATTTAAAAGATCAGTATGGCTTGTTAATAATTTTTTCCAAGTTATTAGGATTGCCTTACTGAGTTTAATATAGACAGGGCTTCTGGCATTCATCATGGAAACTCCCATCTATATTCTGACTCAGGAGTAGCACATTTTTACAAGGTACAAGCTATTCAGACAAGCATAAGTCATTCTCATCTGCTGTGTTGCAGTGTGAAGGAGAATGCTTTTTAGCAATACACAGCATTCTGCAGGCAGTCTCCGCTTTTTATTTTTATAAAGCCACCTTGCTGGGCAACTTAATATAACGAGCACAGTGTTGGCTCAGTGTGCATTATCTGAGATTCTAACAGGTGAAAATAAGTTTCTCTATTTTAATTGCCTTAATTTTGAGCTGCAATGAGAATGGAAATCACATAGCCCTCCAAATATTGTAGGATTGCAGTTTCCAGCAACTATAACCAGCATAGCCAATGGTGAGGAATGTAAGGAGTTATAGTACAACTTCTGGAGGATCTCCCACTTTCTATGTCATAGCTATGAATATTGTGCGATCATCCATTTCAGATGGATACATTGCAATATTTCATAGCAATGTTTATAAAATTGAAATATTAAATGAACCAACTTTGAAGTGTAGAACTTAATGTAGAGCTAAGGCCTCTTCAACACTGCCATATAATCCAGATTATCAAAGCAGATAATCTCAATTTTATATGGCAGCATAGAAGGGGCCCTAAGACTACTAGATCCCTTTCACATGGACTGTTGTCAAGCCAGGTGTCACTCATCCTATATCTGTGCATTTCTTTTTTTCTGATTAAGTGCAATTCAGAAATGTAATAAAGATTTTTTTTAAGTTATAAGCGAATATTTCTGTTGTGATTAGAACTTTCTCAGTATTACTTCTGAAAAAGTAACGATGTTTTAACGAACCTATTTTCCCCACCCCAGATAATTTGGATTTTATATGGCAGAATAGAAGGGACCTCAGACAACAGTCTACCTTTTTGTTGTTGTGGTTTCTACCTTGGTCACAGAGACTTGTAACATTCCTGCAAATAACCTGCTCCTATTTTTATCTCATTAGAATTTTTAATCATTTTATCCTGTACATGTGGCCCGCCCACTATTATTGTGATTGTGTTTATTGGAATGTTATTTTGTTACTGTGTTTATACTTTTTTTCTATGTAATTTTGATGATGTTGCTTGTTGTTTATGTTCTTGTTTTATTTTGCTGTAACATGTTGTCGGGGCTTGGCCCCATGAAAGCCGCTCCGAGTCCCCATTGGGGAGATGGTGGTGGGGTATAAATAAAGTTCATTATTTATATTATTATTAACTAATCCTATAAAGATTTGCTTTATAATTGTTGGTATGTTTTTGTTATCAGGTAATCTGGTCTGATCATTCCACATCTTGTGTAACTAAAACACACCAGGAACTACAGGAATTTTTACTAAAAGTAAGTTTTCAAAAAAGATTATCTGTTATGAATAGATAGCTCGATGTCCTTTATATCCCTAAGATACAATTCTGATTTGTATCAGTGGATAACAAAAAGCTTGTTGAGTGAACACAATACATACATTTTGCATTGATAGTTATTACAGAATGGCAACCATTTTTTTTAGGGTTGGATGGAAAACATCAATTTTTAGTTGTCAAGTGATATTCTTTTCCAGCTGTAACCACATAGTGTGCACAGCTGAGTTGGGTTTAGGAATTACCATATGTAAAGGAGCAGTTTTGTTACAATTCTGTTAGTGGCTATTGTGTAGCACTGAACTGATGGTGGCTGCAGAGAAGATGCATGGGGGGGTGGGGGAGAGAACAATCGATGATCCCATCCATCTCTGGATGCTACCCATTATTGACATTTCATGGCTTATTTGCCTTTCATTTTTAAAAAGTTTCCCTGTCCCAATGTACACAACGAATTTCAGTTGATAGTTGTAATGTACAATATGATTGCTTCCTCCTCACCTGAGAAGTATTTCTCATCAGAGCAAGACTGTGTTAAACTTGAATTGAGCTAATTTTAATGTTTAGTTTTCTGAAGTTATTAGTTATGTTTCAGAAACCCATTATTACTTGACTAATGTGTAATTTTTTTTTGAGATGGGAAAGAGAAACACTGGGAGTAGTGATCTAATTATCAGTAACTAACATACTTCTCCTCAGCTTCCAAGGGATCTTTCTTCTGAAGCATTTGACAAGACTATTTTGGGAGCTTTACATCAAGGGTTACACAAACAAGAAGAAAGACGGTACCCAGACTTAGAACCTATGATAAGGTAAAACTTGAGTAATTAATATAGATGTTTTCCTATAAAACTCAGTTGGCATGGTACTATAACTTCCTATATTTCTTTTGTAATCAATCTATTTAACTAAAGATCTACCTAGGAAGCAGCGTTATGCCTAGTGAGATCATTGATCTATCTGACTCAGTGTTACCAATACTGACATAGGCAACTTCAGTGAGTTTGAGAACCAATTACCTTCCTGCCTCAGTCCTGCTTCTGATCTGAAGTGGCAGTCCATAAATACTGCTTTTGAAAAGTAGTGTTAGGTTTCAAATGGAAGTCTGATTGTTTTTGTGGTGGAGAAAAGAAAAAGATAAACTGCTCAGCAGAACAAATGGGACTTATCTACATGGAAATTCTCTGAATGTTTACTACTACACTACAGCATGCAGGAAGAAATCCCAGGATGTAGGGAAGGAAAGGTCAGGTCACACATGTGCTAAGGCTGTGTGTGTTGTAATAAAGCTAGAAACAACAGGAGAAATAGCATAGTACAAAATCATTAAAATGTGGCAGGGAGTTAAATGAAAACCAGCATTTTAAATTTATCAGATGCACAACGGAGGAATAAACAGGCTTTGTTTTATCAAGAGAAAGGGGATCAAGAAGTCCGGGAGAGTTGAAAGAGGGATTTTTGGTGATGCTAGCTATGAAGTCAAATGTTTATTTTGTCCAGGAGGCTCTAGTGGGGATGGCAGGACAGACATGTAAACAAGTTTAATATTTCTCTCATTACAAAAAGTTCTTCGTTCAGATTACCCTAGTGCTAGAAATGCATGTGACTGTTGACAAATATGCATATATATATATGAGACATTCATTGTGTGTCCATGTCATACAGGCAGTCCCAAATTTACAGATAAAATAGTTTCTTGTTGGTTTGTTCTTAGGTTGAATTTGTATGCAAATTGTGCCCCTGTTCAGAAGATTTCAACTCACTTTCTGTCCCTTAGATAATTGGATTTTGAAAAATTTAGCTTGTTGTGAAACCAAGGATTGGTGAGAAAGCTTCAGTTGAGACAACTTTTCCCCATTATAACTCTTTCTGGAGTGAATGTCCCTTCCTAGGGGTAGATTTCTCTGTTGTCTCACCATCGTTCTTAACTATAAGTAGTTTGCAAGTCAGATGTTTGTAACTCGGAGGTTGCCTGTACACATGTGTATGCATACACAATGTATGAAGCAGATTTTGTTTCTGGAAGCAATTTCCTCCTCTCACTGTGGTTATGGAATTTCAGATGAATGGAGTAGGAATAACACTGTGGGATTTGACTTTTACTTTTTTTGTAGAGATTTGATTACATACTTGACAGGGTGTATGTTGAATTAGAGTTTAAAGGAGGAATGACTGATATGAATTAATGAAACAGTAATTCATAAATTTAACTTTACATGGAATAGGTAACTTGTTTAACATGGATTTTCTGTATTTTAGGCAGCTGTTTTCAACTACTTCCCAAGCTTTTCTCCAGAATCAGAAAGTAAACAATTTCTTCCAGTCGCTATCCTCGGAATCATTGCATGCACAAAGTAAGAAACTTAAAATTCTTCCTGTTGGAATATGAACTCATCTCAGTTTCCTGATATCTGCTTCATGAATCATATTAGAGGACATGATTTACTTCAAGAAACATTTTTTATTGAGAATTAATAGTGAACATTGATTGAATCGTAATCCTTAAATCTTGGAAGTTAAAGATTAGACGGGTGTTGTCAAAATGGTTCTCACATGTTAGCCTGAAGATGTGTTGGGTTGTTTGCAGTGGTATGAGATGAAGGCTTCTGATGTTACCAATATTTCATTTCCCTCCTGCAGCCCCCAAAAATCACATTTGAGAATATTTTATAGCAGAATTTGCAACTGTAATGGAAGGAGTACCTAAAGGTGGAAAGAGTTATTTACAGGAAAAAATGAACAAGACCATGATCTTCCATTCTACAACCATTTGATACAAAAGTATCCAGGAGTTTATGTTTGTATGGCTCACTAAATAGCCATATGAGCTGAAAACGGATGGCCATTATTTCAACTCATCCCATTCTAGATGCTAATGTGTTCGATTGGGACAAGATACCTTCAGCCCCATACTGAGGGTCCTTTGTTAGTGTCTACATTGGTACAGTGGGCCTCTCAGTCTAGTGTAGATGTTTTGTAGGTTGATACCATTAGCCACAAAAGATGATTGAGTTTCTACAGCCCTTAATTTGCCATCTCTTTGTAAAGCTACCTTGCGATTATGGTTAAGCCCTTTCAAGTCATGCCTTCTGAAATTGTTAAAACTCTTGCTCTTTCAGATAACTTCCAATCTTCTCTAAAGACATCCAAGATACCAGAACATTTCAAAGAGGACAGCTCAGAAGCTTCAAGTCAGGAAGAAGGTAGGCATATATTGCAAAATAAAAACATTGTTATCTGGTTTGATTTAAAAAGTATTTTCAGATAACATTTTGAACTGTCATAGTAACAGTCTTGGTTTGATGAAAGTGAAAATTAGAGTGAAAACTAGTAACAGTTCTAATACGGAACCATTCGGTCTATGCTGTCTCAATAAATGTTTGAAGTGTGTCAGAAAGCAGTTTTTGGTTTGTATATCTGGGCTGAGGACAGGTGTCTCTTGCTAGTTGTATGAATCAGAAAGCTCTGTTTATATGATTTAAAGCAGGAGTGGGCAACTATGGAAGACTAGGGAGGCTCACACCTTGTTAAATTTACTCCCACACAGAGACAAAATCATTTTTTATCCTCAAATACCCTTTGAGGATGAAAGAAAGGGATGCATCTACCTGTTGCGAAACATCACTGCATCCAGGAAGAGAAAAAGTACCACCTTTCAGGGCAATTCATATGTGAAAAATAAATAGTTGGAAAGTGCTTTCTTCAAAGTACCATGTGGCTATTCAAAAGATACAAAGCTATTGTTCATTATTATTATTAACAGAGAAAACTCTCTTATTTAGATTATTAAATTGAGACGATGAGGTTTACTTGGAATGAAGTGTGTAAAATAAATGAATAATGTTTACCAGTATGGTGTTACTAGGACCCAGGAAGACCAACATTTGAATTCCCAGACACATTCTGTGTTGGGGTATTTATTTTTTTTAAAAAAAGGAAAATGCATTTAAATATGGTAAAGCAGCAGCAATAGCAGTAGCAACAGTTTAGCAGCTCAGAAGCTTCCTGTGCCAGCAGTAAAGTGAATGAGCTTCAGCAATACAGGAGGAAACTCAGATGTTTTCTTTATTTTGTTTGTAATCATACTTTTAAAATTCAATAAAAATGAAGTTTTTAAGTCTGTGTTGAGGAGAGTTTCTGGTTTAAATAAACTAAATTTGATTAGGTTTTTCTTGTTCTTTTAAATTCAGAAATTATACAGCATACAGCAGTTCACAAGAAACATAATGGAAAATGTCCTGTTGCCAAGTAGGTGTTAACTATTGTGGTGTATTCTTTTGTCATTTAACTAATCAATGTGTTGCTTGATTTCTTTGTAAAATATTCCTTCTTAATATGTTAATTTGGGAATTTCTAAACTGGTATTTGGTGTTAGAAATCAAGATTCCACCAATGTAATTGGAATTCTAGACTGTAACTGCTATAATTATAGCTATGTTTTTGAAGTGTAAAGTGAATGGAAAAATAATGAACAGTTGTGAATCTAAATATACAGTACATACCTTCCTTAACAGACTCTGACAGTGAAGCTCTTTTTAATAACACTTTTATACTACTTTTTATGTAGCTTAATAGTGTTTTAATGGTTTATTCATTTTAACTATGTATTTTAATAGTCATATATTTAAATATATTTGAATGTTTATATGCTTTGGGTTTTAATCTACACAGTATTGTGATTTGTAGTGTTAGCTGCTCAGAGTCTCCCTTGGGAGAGAATAAGCAGGAATATATATGAATAAATAAATAATAAAATACTCGTGTACCTCTTTCATCCTCATCCTCACTAGACCAGTTTCAATCAGAGAAGATTGATATTGGAAGAATGGTAAAGGGGCTGGAAGAACAGTTTTTCACTTTTGAATTGCAACACTTTGCCTGCAGTAAAAAAAAATCAAATATTTGAGCAGATAAAGAGTAGGATTCTGTTCTATTCAGAGCTGCTGCAGCCATGTGTATACTCACTAGGGGTGTGCAATTCGGGTAAATCCCATGCTGTTTTTAGTCTTTTATTTTCGGGTGCCCCAGTTCTGTTTTCTCGGGAACTGCCAGAATTCGAGAGGGGTAAAATACCATTTATTGATCTGTCAACTGGAAGTTCCATTTTAACTCAGAGAAGATCCACCCCATTGGCAGGAATTTGGGGGGGGGGGGGCTTCAGAGGCCAGCCAGCAGTAGAGCAATTGAGTTTCTGCAAGTTGGGAGCAGAGCCAAGCTTTAACAGTTACAAAAAACTTTATTCTAAGAACTACATATCTAGATAGGAAAGTAAATCAGGGCCTATCTATCTGTCTAACTCACAGCAGACATCCTGTATCTTTCCACGCTCACAGGAGAAGAAGAAAATGGCAGACTCAGACACTTGCCATGTGTTCAGAAAAAAGAGGTTTGATCCTGAGAAGTATCAGTCTAACAAACAAGGGGATAGGAGGAGAGAATAGAGTGTCAGGCAAGCAGAAAGGCCAATGGTGAAAGGGCTTTCCCTGCCAGCTCAGCCTATCAAAACTTGTACAGGATGTGGTTGAGTTCCTACATTTACAACTCTGTGCTATAAATCTTTATGACGAAACGTGATTTTAAAAAAATCTGGCAGGGACCAGTAAAAAAAAACACCTTTGCATTTGTTGGAGTGCAAGAGTGAATGTACCTTTAGTCACAATATTTTATGTATCTTTTATAATAGCACGGTTAATACAAAATGCTCTTCGCTGGATGGCTTTGGCATAACACACTCTGAACACAATGGTGTGCCAGACTGGAGAAGAAAAGGTTGTGTATTTCAACAGCATCCGGAACATTGCACAATGCTTGATCAGGTACTTTAAATACACACACACCACCCCTAAGGCATATATTATCAATTGGCAGCATAATATGATAATAAAATGTCCTTTTAACCATGGGCTTAATTTGTATTATAATTACATAGTAACATTTTGTGCTACTGATAAGCTGCCCTGGGTCCTGATTTAGTTTAAAAAATTGAGAGTGTAAATAGTTCATAATAATAGTAAATTACAATAATACTGATTACAACTTAAAGAAGAATCGGGACCCTTCTACACACCCCTATATCCCAGAATATCAAGGCAGAAAATCCCACAATATCTGCTTTGAACTGGGTTATCTGAGTGTGGACTCAGATAATGTGGGATTTTCTGCCTTGATATTCTTGGATATAGGGTTATGTGGAAGGGCTCTCAGTGATGAACATGTCACACCTGAGAACTGGGTAATAGATGCTTAGAGAAGGAGGATATTTCATTAGGGGAAAGGGAACAAAGCAGCACCTAGAAAGAGCAGCAGCATGACTTTCAGAGTTCCCGCTGTTTCTATTGCCTTAGTGAAAACTATGGAATTTTTATCAGAAAATATATGTGTTACTTTGTCATCTAGAATACAGGAGATAAGAGGAATTTGCCTGTGATAAGCAAGAAGAAAGGAAAGCTTCAGCCAGAAAAGTAAGTGTTAATTTCACTTTTAAAAATGATCTTAGTGGTTTAACAAACACGGCTGTTGCATGTGGAGTTTGGTATTTGTTCATGGTAAATGAAACACGAGTGTCTTTTAAAAACAATATTATAATCAGTGTAACTGATATTTTAGCTAACTATTTTAAGATAACAAACACAACCCTTGTAGAATGTTATAAGCTACAAACAGAAGAATACTCAAAAAGTAAAAAGATATCTGTAACATAGTTGGGTGTTAGTAGCCTCTTTGCACGCAAGGAAAGCATATTGCAAGGGCAAATTTTCTTTGTTTCAACTACTGCCTCTTGTATGTCATATTAACATTGAATAGTTTGAAGCATTACATCCGCCCGTCTCTCTTTGTTTTGCTTTAGCAACATTAAGATAATCTAAAATCCTTCTTCAGTCTGGCAGAATTTAGGCAATTATTGCAGAAATTGTCTAGATTCGTGTGATCTAGTCAAGGTGGCACTTGATCCCTTCTTCAGGCAGCACTTTAGCATGAAGTGTAGGTGATGGCAGGCAGGGAGGCAAATGGGTTTTACAACTCGAAATGAAATTTCTTAATGTGGACATGAGTACCATTAGGTAGTTATGTTTATTTATTTGAATGTATACCTAACCTTTCATCAATACAGCAGCTGCTCTTTCAGTTTGGATTGCTTACATCTTTGGAAAGGTATTCATGTTTTGGAGGGAGGAAATCAAGGAAGTCTTCTAAGAGCCGCCGCAAACTAGCCTCCTGCGGGAGCAAACTGTGCTAGCACGTCCCTGACGTCATGAGACTGCGCCTCTCTCTCCGCCCCTTTCTCCGCCTCTTTCTCCGTGCCAGAGTGGTTTTTCCTTTGCTAGGGCAGCATTGCCAGCGTACTCTCGTTGTTGACAGAATTCAAGCTATCTTGAATTTTGCAAGCACGTGAAGATACATCCTGATGAAACCTCTCAGTTTAATTGGTTGGGAATGCTTTAGAAATCTCAAGGTTACTTTGAAGCTAGCTGGACCCCTAAGATCAGTAGTTACTTCCAAATTGTTAGTCTAATTTCAAAGGAACAAGATAGGCCACTTGGCAAGAATCTCTTAAATAAATAATGACACTTGTTTATTTTTTTTTCTTCTGATCTTCACTTAAAGCATTCTGAGGTAACATGTGCTTCACAATACTTGATGTGTATGTTTTCCCCATTTCTTCTTTGAGCTGCTATGAGCTTCTGTAGTGAAATATTTCCACAAGTGAAGTTGACTTCTTTTATTTGTGAAGAAGAAGGCAATCCATGAAGGAAAGATGCCTCCTGAAATACCAAGGGACTGTATTTATCTGCCTGTATATAGTCAACAGTGCCTAAATATTGTTTTTTGACATGAGGATAGTTAGCAAAAAAAGAATAAGTATTGCTTGTCCTTCATGCATAAATGCTGGTATATTAATCTAACAGCCTAATTATAGATTTCCAAATACATGAAAATGAAATATATGACTACATTGATGCAGTGAAGTCTTAATACAAGTAATTATAATGGCCACCATAAATTGCTAAATATTTTGCTTCAAGATCTTTTCATTCTAGCCAACTTTTAGTACTCAAGTTTTCAGGGCTGTACCCAGTGCAAAGAGATTCATTGAACATACTCTTCTGACAAATGTTTTTCCCCCACACAGAGATAAAGGGAAGAGAAATGATAACAGATTAGCTATCAGAAGTAACTGTGTAAGAGTTGCAGATACTTATGATCTCCACCCAGGAATAGCAAAAGGTAGGAAATGTGTTTAAGAGGCTGTTTTGGTACAATGGAGTTTTCTTATAAATTCTCTTTTGATTTATGAAGCATTTGTTTATGTATTCATTTGATTTGCAATAATGTGTTAAATTTGTAAGACAAAGTCAAGTTTCATGTTGAGGTTGTCCTCAAATCTAGTTTCCATTAGCAAAAAGCATGCTGCTGGACTCTCCTAAAATAAAGAGTCAATATACTAGGTCATGGTCTCTGTTCAGTGTGTTTTGCTTCTGGGTTCTGCACCTGCATGTAATTGTTTTTTAACCAGGCTACTGTCCGTGACCTCTCTGAAAGAGATTTTCTATCACTAATGCTGGTGGAAAGGGACAAAGCAAGCATCATCTCACCATTGTAATAAGAACTCATGGTATATCCTCAAAGTACATTCTTCAGCCATTAATCTTTTTTATTAATCAATTTTTCAAAATTGCAACAACCCTAACTTTTAATCTACAGCACAGAGGCAGGGAATTTTGAAAAATACAGTATCTCTTAAGCTGATAGTAGGAAAAAAGCTCATTTTTTATTGTTGTGCCCAGAATATAGTTAATTTCTGGCAAAAAGATAAAAGCCTGCTGCAGGGATGGACAGCTGTGGTTCTTAAGGTGTTGGGAATGCAATTTCTGTAATTGCTCATGATTTGCTATACATAAGTCCTCTTGTACACCTTCACTGATAGTTAAATCCTTGGTATCATGAGCTTCACCCTTTAAAATTTTAGTCATCCATACTCTCTTAGAAGTACCCATTATGTTTGGTTTCATCCCATCAGGGCCTTGCAAGTAGTATATGCCCATCTCTGCTTGGAAAAATAACCGCTAAAGCCTTGAAAACAAAGGCAGTCCTTCAAAAGAGATCAGTGAGTGAGGTTTTTGGGTTACAGTCTGCTCCTGAGTTACTAGAGAAACACGTGGAAGCGTTTTTGTGATTTGATTGACAATATTCAGGTCTGTGGTGGAGAACCTTCTTCAGTCTAGGAGTCAAGAACTAATTTGAGGGTTTGTGGTTATCTGCACTGCATTGGCAGGACTATGAGGGCTTGAGATGGCATCAAAGTGAACATTTGCCAGGTATAAATGTTACTTATGTGCCCTGTGCAACAGCCTAGATTAAAATGACTGGTCTTATTGACATTCCGCATTCTGAAATTTTACAGAACCACCAGGAAAATATTGTAACCAAACTAGGAAATTAAATATCAGATACTTGATTTAGAAGTCTTAGATATCTACAACAGCAGTTCTGTCTCTGTAGTATAACAGCATTCCCAATGTTCACCTCCTTAGGTCCAGGATCTCATATAGAACAGAAACAATCCCATCCCCTAAAAAAAGTGACAGTTCTTCATTGTCAGTGGGAGTTGGATCCGTGCATCTCCAGTGCAATCATATTTCTTTTGTATGTCTAAAATGAAAGTCGTACTGTGACTTGATCTAGCCTTGTATTTTATTCCAAAGGAAATTTCTGATGTTATCAGCCAGCTTTCTTCCTCCTCTCTTCTTTTCTTTTTTCCTGTTTTACCTGATAGGGATTTCTTGTGAACTTAAAAACCTGTCACTGTTTGTGACACTTGTGGTGTTCAAATAAAAGTATTAATTGCCCCAGTAATGGATTTTGGAATTGTTTTTCTTTTGGCCTATATGGGCATACTTTTTTGTGAAGTATGCCAGATAGAAGCATCCAATAATTAATTTGGAAGAGGAAAATTATGCTAGTCAGGTCAATTATGATTCAATGCATGCCCAAATCCTTTGTAGATGAAGTAGTTCTTTGACTCCCAACCATAGATTCTAGTGAATTCTATTTTAGTGTTACTGTTAAACATTTTCATTTATTATTTTGAAAGTAGAAATCATTGAGTAGAACTGTCTTAGAAAACTGGGAGTTTTAGATGCAAGGTAAGAAATGAAAGATGCAGAAAGATACAAGTTGATAATGCATATTCATTGATGGTCTTCAGCAGTAACCTTGCTGATATGAAATCTTTTCTAGATTCAAATTTAGATGTTACTGTTGGACATGACACATGTGGAGAAACCTCTTCAGAAAGTTACAGTTCTCCTTCTAGTCCACGACATGATGGAAGGGAAAGCTTTGAAAGTGAAGAAGAGAAAGACAGAGGTTGTATTTATATGTTTTAAAATGATAAGAATGTAGAGAATCACTTTATCTTTTTTTATTTTATTTGGATTGGTGTATTGGGCTGAGTTCAGGCTCAGACCTAACAATTTTACTGTTAATATAGTTGATAATACAGAGTAGATTCTGAGTCATAATCAAGATACTTCTAAATTAGGGAGGGAAGAGTGTGTTTCTTGGGGTTACCTGCAGCCCTCAGAGCTGTTTCTATAGCTTTTAGTCACCCCTACTCCTTGACTGCCTTTTCTCTGGGAAAATATACCCTGAATTTGCCTCTATTGGAAGCTTCCAAAAGTTGCAATTTGTCTTTGAAATGTGTTTGTGGAGCTGTGGCCCTCACCTGCTTGACATAAACCTGTTTTTGAAAAACAGAAATGGACTTCTGGCTATTGCTTTTGCTCTTTTGTGCTGGCTTGCAGAGAGGGCAAAAATAGGCCCTGGAAATGCTACAATTACCCATAATTACTCTATTGAGGCGCCTGTCTCTAAATAAATCATCATTGTCTAATTAAACAGCAGAATATCTTCAAAAACATTTAGGCATTGTACCACAATGTAACCTAGAAAAATTCCCAGATCTTTTTCCTCTCTCCTGAATGGAGACCATAAAGAGAGAATCATTCTGTGTAGCTGCATCTTTTCATCTGTCTCATATATACCAACAAATCTCAGCTTTCTTTTGTAGCACCTTTTGCTTTATATTTGTTTTCTAAGGTAAAGTTCATTTGAGATAGGACTGTGGGTTTTGCCAGAGGTGAGCTGGCTTTGCTCAGTTCATCCAGATTGGCATGCCTGACCCATTCTTGATTTTATGCAACTTGCCAAAGTTAAAATTGCACGATATACAGTTTGGCTTTTCAGCCTATGCTTTTTTAAAACATTCACCACAGTTATTTTAAATTTGATTATTTTTCTATATTTGTACATAACTACTTTGTATCTTTACTATTACAAAGCAGTTATGCTAATGCAGGAGGAGACTATAAATTCACAGTAGTCATGATGGCTGGTAGTCATGGCAAAATATTTTTTCTGGTGTCATATAGTAGGTTTCTTAGTATCTGTTGCTGGGAATTGTATTTATGTCCTGACTGGTCATCAAGGAGCAGATAACGTTCTGGTTTATCGCCAAAGCCAGGGGTAACTCAGCCACATTTTCCCACAGACAACTAAACATCCAAATTGCAGTGGGCGGCAAAGCTTCTGACCAGTCTGCCAATATCACTGTTTTATCACAGGGGAACAACTTTTGCTGTGGAGATAGGGGCATAATGTGTATATCTGCATGTGCATGCATGCATGCATTCAAATGAAAGAGATGAATATATGTATAGGTGTAACATGTCTCTCCCACCATAGTGACAGATGCAGCCCTTGGGGCTGGAAATATTGCCAGCTTTTCCAAAGGCTGAAATATTTATTTAAATAATTATTTAAAGGGCCTCCTGGTGGCACAGCGGGTTAAACCACTGTGCTACAGAACTTGCTGACTGAAAGGTTGGCAGTTCAAATCCGGGGAGCAGGGTGATCTCCCACTGTTAAGCCCGGCTTCTGCCAACCTAGCAGTTTGAAAACATGTAAATGTGAGTAGATCAATAGGTATTACTTCTGTAGGAAGGTAATGGCACACCATGCAGTCATGCTGGCCACATGATCTTGGAGGTATCTATGGACAACGTTAGCTCTTTGGATTAGAAATGGAGATGAGCACCACCCCTCACAACTAGATATAATGTCCAGGGGAAATCTTTACCTTTACTAAATATTTAAAACAAATATCCACTAGATTAGTAATAAGAAAATGCCTTATTACATGATAGGTGCATTATTGGAGCTGTTTCAATGATGATGTCATCATTGTCAGTAGCAGTAGTTCTAGTATTTATGCCCTACTTTTTTCCTCACAGTTGGGATTCAAGTAGCTCACAATTTAAAGGATCAATACAATTAAAGACATTAAAGGCAAACATTAAAATATTCACTGTATTAAAATAATTGAGCATATCAATGAAAGAAAAACATACAGTTCAAAAGATAATTTACTGTATTACTGCTTTTTAGCTTTTGTTTGTAATATTGAATAGTGTTTTGATTGTTTATTCCTGTATGGCAGAAGGTTGTGGTCTCTTCCAACTCTATGACTTTTTATAAGCAACGGGAAATGGAAGTTAACAGGCTATACAAGTCAGTTTAAGAAAGCCTTAACATTTCCCTTCCTTTCTAGTGATATAACTAGGCTTTAGATTTAAAATGCTTTTAAAAACTTGAGAGTTTTAATTGTTTAATTATGCCTTGTTTCCACAGATACCGATAGCAATTCTGAAGATTCTGGGAACCCAAACATGATGAGGTTTACTGGGTACAGTTCTGCAGATCTTACTAAGTCGCCAGCACAGGTTTCAGTGAGATCAGACAATCCGAATATTGTTGAGGATCCTTTGAATCCACAGTTCCAACACATTTCCTTCATGCCTGCCCTGCATTGTATGGTGCTTAATGGTGCACAGAAGCAGGAAACAGTTGTTTCACCACCGATACCCACGGATGGAAAAGCGTTAGGGATGGTGGTTACAAATTCAACTCCTGTTGGAATGGGCTCAGTGGGTGAATCCGAGAAACACATAGAACTGCTGTCCTCCCCTTTGCCAGCCACCTTCCTCCCACCTGCAGTCCAGCCTGGCAGCCCAGCATTGCACGTTGCAGTGCACAGAATGAAAATGCCTGCAGCGCAGGTATCCTCTGAAAGTTGTGCAGTTAGTGGAGCACCACCACAACAAACAGGAAACTTAAGCATCGGATCACCCACCACTGCCTTTATCCCAGTCCACAACCCAGGTAACTTTCCGGGATCCACGGTTCCTACCACGGATCCAGTCTCAAAACCTGCCTCCCATGTGCTGGGCTTAAATCAAATGGTGCCTCATGTTGAGGGAAGCGCAGGAGTGATTCCTCAGTCTCCCAGTCTAAAAGTAGTAGTTTCTGCAGCTGGCCTCTCCACAGCACTCCCACCAGCTCCTTTTCCTGTGCCAGTGACTCTTCATGCTACCAGTGTATTGCCCAATCAGAGTTCCACTGTGCTGAACACTGTGGCATCAACACCACCACCTCCTCCATCCTCTGGCCTCTGTGTTAGTCAGGTCCAACCTACTGTTCCTCCTGCAATACCGACCCACACGCCAGGCCCTGCTCCTAGTCCCAGTCCTGCTTTGACACACAGCACTGCACAAAGCGATAGCACCTCTTACATTAGTGCTGCTGGGAATACTAATGCAAACGGGACACTATTGTCTCCACAGCAGTTGGGGTCTGGGCCTTGTGGGTCTTGCGGTCGCAGATGCAGCTGTGGGACCAATGGAAGTCTTCCGATTAACAGTTACTTTTATCACAATCCACTTCCTGGACAAGTCTACCGAGTTCCACCTTTCTTTACTCTGCCATCGCTTTGCAATGGTAGCTACCTCAACCAAGCGCATCAGACTAATGGAACGCAGATTCCGTTTTACTTGCACCGGAGCCCCTACCCAAATGGGCTGATGCATGACCCAGTCATGGGGAGCCAAACCAACTATGGTATGCAGCAAATGGCAGGATATGGGAGGTTCTATCCTGTGTATCCAGCTCAAAATGTAGTTGCCAATACTAATGCATCATGTCCCAAGAAGAATGGGAATGTGTCCTGTTATAATTGTGGTGTTAGTGGGCACTATGCACAGGACTGTAAGCAGTCATCCATGGAAGCCAGTCAACAAGGTAATCATAATTCCCAACACAGTTGCTTCTGAGTTCATTTAGTTTTTGTTATTGACCATGCTGTCCCAGTTCAGCTGTCTGTGGATTGTTTTGCATTGACTGTGAATGTGAGTGTGTGTATGTGTGTATTAGGGGGAGGGGTTGTCTGTAAAACCATTGAGTAGTTTGTAAAAGGCCTAAACTGTTACAGTGTCATAATGAAATGAAATCATGACATTTGAGCAAACACACCAAATAATCCCCATTGGGAAAAGCAAAATAAAACTCAAGTGTTTCCTTAAGTCATTAGGCTTTATGATGTCTTTTCCAGTGGCCCATGTCAAAATAGTACAGCAAAACGTTTTTATATTAGGGATTCCAAAATGCTTTGTGCTGATTATTAAAAAAAAAAATGGGCAGGCTATTCACTTGTCTATAGCTTGATTTCTTTCCCTTTTTTAACAAACATATCTGTAGACAATTCCAAAAGATATGTAAATACGCCTAAGTATGAATGAATCATTACAATGAAGGAATCCCTATTTTTCTGGTGTGTCTGAAACTTGAACAGAAAAGGCCCGTTTGACTGGTTGTAGTGTGTTCTGAAGATGGAAACAGTGAAATGGCTTAAAGATGCTAAATGTAGTGATATGGGCTTGTTTGGACCATTGTGCTGTAAAGACAAACCTAGCTTCCCCTGGATTTCCTCCACCTACCTGCCCTGACAGTTAATAAAAGACATTTTGGATGCCCTGTCTTCCATTTTAGTTTAAACACAGTTTATGGTGCCAAATGAAACAGGACAGCCTGTGTTTAATCTTCTTTAAAAACATAGTTTAGGATGTGTTGCCAAAGGCTTTCATGGCCGGAATCACTGGGTTGCTGTGAGTTTTCCGGGCTGTATGGCCGTGTTCCAGATGCATTCTCTCCTGAAATTTCACCCACATCTATAGCAAGCATCCTCAAAGGTCGTGAGGTCTGTTGGAAACTAGGCAAATTATGTTTATTTATCTGTGGAATGTCCAGGGTAGGAGAAAGAACTCTTATCTGCTTCAGGCAAGTGTGAGTGTTGCATTTGTCTACCTTGATTCACATTTAATGGCTTTGCAAAACCTGGCTGATTGCTGCCTGAGGGAATGCTTTGTTGGGAAGTGTTAGCTGGCCCTGATTGATACTTGTCTGGAATTCCTCTGCTTTTTTTAGTGTTGCTCTTTAAAACTGGTGGCCCATATATTTGTTCATTATCATGGTTTCCTCCTTTCTGTTGAAATTCTCCAAACACAGGTATATAAACCTCATTTGCCTAGTTTCCAACAGACCCCTCAATCTCTGAGGATGCTTGCCATAGATGTGGGCAAATTGTCAGGAGAGAATGCTTCTAGAACATCGCCTTATTTATTTACTGTATTTGTATACTGCCTTTCTCAGCCAATTGGCGACTCAAGGCGGTTTTCCATACAGTCCGGAAAACTCATAGCAACCCATAGTTTAGGATGTTGGCTTGTTTTCCCCTACCATAGGTAATTAAAACAATATTTTAGTGTTCAGAGACAGTCCACTAAACGAAGGGTGGGGAGCATGTGTCCCTTTAGCTCATGCCAGACTGTAGCAGTCTTCTGCTGTTGCAATCATAGACATCGGTGAGAGTTACGGCCTGGTAAAATCTGAAGGGCCTTACATTTTGCATCCATGTAATTATTGTGGTTATCCTATAACAATCTGAAAATTCCTTTCTCCTCATTGCAGCCATATCAAAGAAGGGAAAGAGGAGAAGGGAACATTTGGTCAGGGAAAGAGGAGAAAATTTGGTTTAGTTTTTAAAGCTAAACCATTGTTTAGCATTATATCTGAGTATATAGCCACCTTGTGGTTGTTTGGATAACATTCCTTTTATTTAAAAATTAGCATTTATGTAGATGTAGAATTTAGATAGTCGAATAACATCAGTGGAGGAGTATGTTTACTTTGGGGGCTTTGTAGCTTTTCTCATAATATATTAAGTGCAAGCAGTGACTTAGTAAGTTCTCTTTCCTGTTCTAGGCACTTACAGATTGAGATATGCACCTCCCCCACCCCCTTCTAATGATACGTTGGATTCTGCTGACTGAAACCAAGTAAACATTGCCTGCATACCAAAATGAAGGTTGGGAGATCGGGGGAATTCTTTGGATTTGAGAGATTCCTTGCGTGTGTTTATGTTCTGTTGCATTTTTTCATTGCTCATGAACACCTGTTCTGATACAAACGAAGAAAGCTGTTTTTCTCCTGGTCTGACTTGCATAAAGCATGTGGCTGTCTCAGCCAATCAATCAAAAAGCATTTGGAGAATAGACTTTTTGCACTGAAGACTTGAGATGTGCAATGTTTACTGCATTATTTTGTAAAGGTCATTTAATCTCTGACTACACTGGTTGAACAGCCATATGGTTGAAAGGAGAAATTGGGTCATGCTCCCAAATGTCACCTTTTCCTTCCCCTCTTTTTCTCATGCTGCTATTCTCTTCCACCTTTGCTGGCTCTACGTTGTCTCAATGGGACTGGATGGATGTTGAGCTCCCAAAATAGACCCCTGTCCATGACTCTACTAAATTTTTGTGCTTGTGAATTGGTGGGGCTGTTGCTTGCTTTTTTTGAAAGATGAAAGATTCACAGATATGTACAGCTCTTACGTGCCTAAATGAAAAAAAATAAATAGAATATGGTAAAGGTTTAAAATGGCGTGAACTCTGAGCAGATTTCTGAAATAGAGTTAAGTCAAATAATTTTTAATTTCGTTGTACTCTTAAAAAAAACTTTGTTGGTTTAAAATGAGTAACTGGTATGACTGCCTTAGTTTGTGTGTTTGCATATGTAATGGAAGTTGGCAGCAAATACATTTTCTTAAATATAATTCTGTGTCAGTAAAAAAAGGCTACATTTTAACACCCCTTTAAGGTTATTACAGTGTTGTGTTTAGAATGTAAATGATTCATTTGAATCTGGACAAAAACCTGTGTGTATTCTAACAATCTGTTGGGTGTTTGTATACTAGAACCAAATAGCAATGTCACTTTCTTATGACAATTTACCACTGTGTGATCACGATATAATGTGAAAGACTCCAATGAGTGTGAAGATTGATCATGTTAGTGTCATATCACTAAGTTTAACGCTGCTGTATTTTGTTTCTAAAAGCCAAGATGTACTAAATTGCTTCCAGGTAATATTTGATTTCTTAAGTGCACTGAGTTTATCTGGAAGAAAGCTTTTGACTGTTGAGATCTACACTGAACTACCACCATTTGTTAGGTTCACAACTAATAGCAAAAATAGAGGTTTTACTTATTTTTTTATTAAAAAAATAAATATACAGCAGGTGGAACCAGTCAAAACATATTTGATTCCTTCTAATTACTAAACAAAAAACTTGAAGAAACTTGATTTACTACATTTCTTCATAGATAGCATTTATATTTATAGCACCAATATATTTTGGAAGTGAGGGGACGATGAGATAGATGAGAGCTTTAATTTAAAAGAAAATAAGCGTAAGAAATTATTTTAATTAAAAAAATATTTGCGCTGGGTAAGTTGGACCACATTAAAAAGAAATAACTGCTTCTGAGTCTAGTGAGGGTGTTAAAGCACCAACAGGTTGGCATTCTCAATTATCTGCCAGTTTACCTATGGGACTTATTTTATGATTTAAGATACTGTACTGTAAATAGGTATGATGCCTTCTCTTTATTTGTATGTTTACCATATACTTTGATATTTGAAATGTTATGTACTGGAAAGGTCACTTATATTTCTAGAACAGATTGGATTTTATGCAGCATTTTTCCTGGAATTAACAGCAATAAAAAGAGGGGAAAACATCTGTTTGAAAATATTGTACTTAATTATACATGACAATGACACTGAAATGTCTTACCTGTCTCCTGAATCAAACAAAGGTGAAGAATCAAGATCTTTTTAGCATGCTCTGGCTATCTTAAACTTTGATGGAAATTACCCAAGACAATTGCAGAGGAGGGTAAAAAAAATATCTACAACCAAATGTGCACGTTGCCCAGACCACAGCAGAATTGTTGGCAATGGGGGGGGGGGGGGGGGGAGGCTTGTCTCACTGCTTAAATCAGGTGGGCAAATGTGACCAGCATCAGAGCTTTATAAATGTTGACCTGCGACTCCTAATCTCCTTCACCATTCCTTGGAGCTCCTGGGAATTGTGGATCAACAAAATCTTAGACCCAAATATCTCCCCCCTGTTTTAAGTTTTTTTAATACTTAACTACACTCTACTCCCAATAACCTAAAGACGCTATACAAGAGTTCCCAAACTTAGGCCTGTGGGTTGGATGTGTCCTTCTAAGGTTGTTTACTTGCCCTAAACCTTAGACTCGAAGGCACACAACAGCAGCAATAATCCTAATTAACTTGACTATCTCATCAGCCAGAAGCAGGACCATACTTCCCACTGGTAAGTTTATGTTGGTTAAAATTGTTCTACATTTTAAATATTGTATTATTTCATGATTTTTGGACTACATATAAGATATGTTCAGTGTGCATAAGAATTCATTCATTTCTTTTTCAAACTATAGTCCAGCCCCCCCAACAGTCTGAGGAACCGTGAACTGGCCCTCTGCTTAAAAAATTTGAGGACTCCTGCTCTATACCATTTGAGTCTATCTTACCCACACCTTTCTCTAATCCTGGTCCTATCTTGCTCGTGTCTTAATCTCTTGTTATTTGCCCTCATTTGGCTTCCACACTGAATGTATGAATGAGAGACCTCCAAGACATCTATGAACAAATTCAGCGTCATCACATATAGCATGTCTTGGTTGTGCTAGTTTCTAACTGCAGTGGCTCCTCAGATACTCGACAAATAAGGTGGTACTTTCAGTAAAATGTGGGGTCCATCTATCTGAGCTCCTGCTCCAATTCCTTGGAATAGTTGTAAATTTCACTCATAGATTTTATTTTCCTGGTCTCTGTATAGGATTCTGCACATAGTGTTTTTGCCTGCACTGTTATTCCTGAAAGATTTTCTGATGCAGAAGAGAGAGATGCAGGAAGGGTAAACATTTTGATTCTGGTTTTTATCTGTACCAAATAGGTAATAAAATTTTGCCTGAAGGAAACTTGGATTTTTCTGTGTACTGATACCCAGAAGATCATCCTGGTCAAAAACAGTATGCTGTGTTAAAAACGCAAAAACCTGATCATGATGGGATTTCTCTTCTCTCAACTACGGCTATCCAGAATCAATTCCAGATAGTGCTGAACATTCTGAATAGAGGAAAGGACAGGAAAGGGAGATTCCCACTCGCTGATGGAAGGAGTTGCTTCAGGGTCTTCATTGGGTTCCATTTTCCATCTTGTATTTTGCCTTAACAAAACTTGCGTTTTTCCGTAATAGGGCCTCATTTCTCATGTCCTCCATCTCCCACAAATCAATGCTAGTTTTTTTTTTAATTCAGTAAAGATTATAGCTTTAGCAATGCAAGCTAAAATAAGGTGCTAGCATTCAAGATATACTTGAATACTAATACTTGGTATGTTCCTTGAACTTCTTGAAGTGTTGGCTAAAAATAAATTAAAGCAACTATATTGACTTAACTATATCTTGAATCCAGAAATGGTTCTTTGCTCATGCAACCATGGCAGAAGGTTTGCACTTAGATTTCTCACTAGGTTTTATTTTCAAATCAGTCTCAGATCACCCTATAATTCTCTTGCGACAAGAGCAGAATCTACTCTTTGTGCTTATCTCCTGCAAAGGAAATGAAAATATACTGGTATACATTTATAAGTAATTCTTCAGCAGTGCACTGCAGTGACAAGTGTCAATCCTTGTCACTGCAGTGTCAATACTTGTATTAACCCGAGAGCTATGAAAAATAAAGGTCTTGGATATCAAGCCTGAGGCTAGGGGTCACCATTAGTTTCCTCCAGTTTTTACAGAGAATTCAAATGAAGCAAAACGTGCACGTTTCAACAGACAGCTTGATGGCACAAACACATAACAAAAAACCTAAAATCAGTATTATTTGACCAATGTTTAATAACATGCCAAACATCTCAAGCTGCCTTGAAGACATCAGGTTAGTCTGATCTTGGAAGCTAAACAGAGTCACGCCTGGTGAGTATTTGGATGGAAGATCACAAAGTAATGTCAGGTGTTGTAGGCTAAATTTCAGAAGAAGGCAATGGCAAACAATCTGCATATTTCTTGCCTGGAGAACAAGGAAATTCATAATGTCATAATTCAACCAGCTAAACAGTGTAATTTCTCCAGTGGTGTAGGGTGCAGACACCCCATGATAATGTGGCATGTCTCATTAAGAGCCACATCCACTGTTTAAGCATGGTGAGATGTGTTCCACACTGGGCATACATACTCAGCAGGGAACTTGAAGGCACATATATTTTGGATGGGAACACCCATCACCACTAGCCATCATACTGGGAACTTTATCACATGGAGATAGCAAACCCAGCTTAGAAACTGATAGTCCCTATCATCCCATCTGAAGGGCCATATAGTTCCCACACCTAAACTTCAATACCTTTATATTCTCAATGCTGAAGGTGATTCTAGATATTGGATTAGCTTTTTAAAACAGTAAATGAAAGCTGAATTGGGTAACTTCACCTAGTGCAGTGGTTCCCAAGCTATGTTCCGCAGACCACCAGTGATCTGCAATAACTAAAATATGATCTGTGGCCCCACCGTTACTACACCATTGCAATGAGAGTGTCTGGTCTTGGGAAACCGAGGCTTACTAAGTATGTTTTCTGTGGCCAAGCAGAAACTACTGGATGGTATATGTTCTGTATCAGAAACTAATATGGTCTATCCAGTGCAATTTTTTGAATCGGCACCCCAAATGACCAAACCAAATCTAAAGTTAACCAAAAACCGATTCATAACGCTTTTAGTACTAATGTTGGAGAGTGGTCCCTGGTCAAAAAAAGGTGGGGAACCACTGTCCTAGTGGGTGCAGTGAGATGAACATAGTTCGTTTTTTACTTTTAAAAGAAAAGGGAGGAATCTCAGAATGACTTATTTTAATAGGAGCTTTATGGATTTCAATTAGTCTGTCTTTTTTCTGTAACTGATTGCTATGGAGTTAGAGCAGGGAAAGAGTGAAGTCATCCAATGCAATTCCATTATCAGCCTGACCCTCTGAACCACTTCACTGTTTAATAAGTAGCTCTAACTGCAAAAAAAGTAAACCAGTCATTATACCCTTATTCAGTCCCTTCGGGGAGAACCTATTAATTCAGGTCAGGGAGCCTTGGCATTTGGATAATCGGGAAGTAATTAATTACAGGTAGAGGAGCTAGTTTAAGCAAAATAGCCAGAGGGGAATCACTAGTTTTAAAAAAGTGCTGGAGAGGGATCTGGTTTAAATACCCTAAGGCAACAAATCCTGTCAGATCTTGTAAAGTAAGCAGGATTAACCCTGGGTTGCACTTGGGTGGAAAATCAAGAACTGTAAGCTATGTTCCGAATCCAGAGGAAGATAGTGGCAAAACCACCTCTGAGTATTCCTTTCCTAAGAAAGTTGATAGGTGAATTGAAGGCACATACAACAGCTTCTCGAGGGCTTGTATTTCTCATTATCACCATAGTGTTCTCTTCCCTTTTCTATTATCTTCTGCGTAGACTTCTTTAAACCCTCCCGCCTTCTAGAGAAAGAGGATTGTGTGGAACTCCTTAGAAAGAGAAAAGAATCTCCATGATCTCCCTTCAACTTCGCCTGGTTAGGAAAAGTCTGGAATGAAGCACCAAAAGATGGCATTTCCATTGTCACTCACTTGTAATTGACTAATTGTAATTAACTAAATTCATTCATTAAAAAGCAATTTTCTCCAAGGTGTACAGCCCCTTAATGCCAGTGCTAAGTTTGAGGTGGCTGAGTTTCAGTCTTAAAACTATAGCATCGATGCAGAAATATTTAGTGAGTACAGAAGCTCCTTTTTAATTTCTAATTCAATGAAACACGGACTAGCAAACCTTCACAGCACTAATGTGTTGTACCAGTGTTCATAGTTCACTTGTTTATTTATTTATTGTATCAGGAGCGAACAAAATAGTTGTATTTTTTTAAAAAAAAAACACAAAGTTTGAAAACTTGGCATTCTACTAAATGCCCTTTGACCAGTAGCTGGCCACTTGGAGTGCCTCTGGTGTTGCTATAAGAAGGTCCTCCATTGTGCATGTGGCAGGGCTCAGGCTGCCTTGTAGTAGGTGGTCTGTGGTTTGCTCTTCTCCACATTCGCATGTTGTGGACTCCTCTTGGTGGCCCCATTTCTTAAGGTTGGCTCTGCATCTCGTGGTGCCAGAGCACAGTCTGTTCAGGGCCTTCCAAGTCGCCCAGTGTTCTGTGTGTCCAGAAATAGTTCAGTTGTTGAACTATGGTAAATTCAGCCTAACCAAGCAATACAGAAATGCTGGCCTGTATTAAGGGCCTCCTCCCTTCCACTTGGCAAGACGTTGGTAGGCTATCATTTGGGTGAATTGCCATCTGCACAGACCTTCTGCCTTTTAAAACAGAAGGTGAGTTAGCAGAGTGATCAGTATGCGCTTCATGAAAACCAAATTCTCCCATTTATAACTGAATCCCAGCCAGATAGCAAAACAAGCGGCTCTCCTCTTACATAGTCTAAGTGTCGAAATCAATAAAGGTAATAATATGTAATTATGACTGCTGTCTATCATGAGCTCAAAACAGATGCTGTGACAAGATGATGTATAGATTTGCTCCTCTGAGCACTCTGATGCCTGCTGATGTTGTGGAAATGTAAATTAACCACTTAGTCATTTTGTGGGGATCTTAGGAGACCAAAATAATAGAAGGAT